ATTTTCGCCTAATTTATTTGTAAATAATCCAAAGTATTGGTCTATGTTGCATTTATAGAACAAAATTTGACTTTCTGGATTATAGAATCCAGAAACCTGTGCCAAATGCTTTGAGAACTGCCTTATTCACTATTAGATTTTTTTTTTAAATACTTGCACCATAGATGTTTAATTTTTAAAAAGAGTAACCATGCTTATAGGCGCTGATGAAGTGTCACAGACCAAGCCTGCCCGTTGGTGTATGATTCCTTCCTCAGGATTCCAGACATTCTGGGGCTCGGGAATCCCCATATTGGGCAGAGCACGACGTGAAAATGGGGGTGAGCTTTGTTGCTTTTTGTCTGCTGCATCGTCCTCATTCGGACACCAGAGGGCGCAAGGAGGGCCGGCGCTTGTTTTTCTTTAAATCTCGAGTCTCAGGCGAGAACAACAAAAGACCCGGAACGCGGCGGCTCGAGACAAAGGGACCCTGGCACGGGCTGCGCGCCGAGCTTCCCTAGCGTCGCCTTGGCCTGGCCGCACCGCCCCCAACTCCTCCTCCGCGCCCTAAACTTAGAACTAGAAATAAACAACTTAAGCTGCAAAACGTGGACTCTTTAGCTAACCAGAAAAACCAGCGCGCAGCAGGTACTCAGAGTGCGGCTGGAGAGGCGCGTCGTGGGGGCGCCTTGCAGCTTTGTTTCGCCGAGTGTGAGGGACTTTAAAACGTAGTTTTTATTGCTTGCTTTTCTGAGTTGAAGAATAACAAAGACAGAGCAGAAGATTCAGGAAATGTCGAAAAGTCAAAACAGAAACTAACACATTTTAACAGAAACAAACTGTTTTTATTTTCATCTATTTCTTCCCAGGTTTTTTAAATAAAGAAATGGGGTTCTGCATGATGTTTTGTGATTTGTGCTGTTTTCAATCTCTCTGTCTCTCTCTCTCTCTCTCTGTCTCTCTCTCTCTGTCTCTCTCTCTCTCTCTCTCCCTTTCTCTCTCCTACGTTGTCAGCTCCATTTTTAAAATATATTCTGATAATAAAACTTTGCTAATCACAAGAGTTTATCCCAGTTAGGAGAATTTTAAAATTTCACGAGTGCAACAGGCAGCTGTTTTCCTAAGCAACAACTCGCTTACCAGATCCATAATCAAGTTGCACATTCGAAGCAAGAATAAAAGCAGGAATTTTCCTGTCGTTTAGAAGAGGAAACAGGTATAGACCAAAGAAAAGAATAGACACAGTTCCATCCCACCGCAAACAGGCGGGGTGACTTTGTCCTTTCAACAGCCCGAAGGCTGTCCTCTGTCCTCGGGGGGAAATGGGGTTCACTAGGTCGCCTGGTCCGCCCGGTGGGGACAGATTTAGGGCCACACAGATCAGCAGGTGGTCAGCGAGACAGAAAAATGTCAGGAACCGGGAGGTGGCTGACCTTGAGGGTTGGTGCCAATCACAGGCAGGGGGCTTCCTGGAAGCCTCCCCCAGCTGGAGGGCAAAGAGCCTTAAGGAAGCCGAGGCCTAGAGGTGGGGTCGCTGGACCTACACAAACACGTCATCACCTTGCCCGCCTGCAGGGTCCTGTGCATTTCCAAGAGTGGCCATCAGTCTCCTTCTCTGGGTAACAAAAGGGTCAAAAAGACCTGCGGGATCCCTGCACGGTCCCAGAGCTGGGAATGAAACTAGGACCTTGGCGTGTAATGCAGGCGCTCTAGGACTGAGCCACACTTGCAGGCCCATGTGGGGTTTTTCAGTGGTCCCCAAACGTGCAGCATGCTGTTTGCTGGCTCCTGCAGCCCTGGTCCCGCAGCAGCAGCCCCCTACGTCTGTTTCCCAAATCCCCACATCCTTATCTGCGAGCACTGAGTGCCTGAGGGCTCCCTCTTTCCTTAGTGCTGGCTAACTAACCCCCGCACCCACTCACCCCCCACCCCGCCTTCATGTTCCTCACCCCTTGGGGGCCCCTGCTGGAAAGTGCCCTGCGAGCACCCCATCCCTCCTTATCTGTAACCCCATGCTGTTTTGCACATCCTTGCATCATTTTCTACCTTTGTGACCTTAGCTTTCCTGTGCCTCAGTTTCCTGAGTAGACAATTATTGCACCAAACTCATGATATTAGTAGGAATAAATGGTTAATATACTGAAAAGCACTTAAAATACAGCCTTGTGGGCCGGAATATAGCTCAGTGGCACAGGACCTGTGTGGTAAGTGTAAGGTTGTGAGTTTGATTCCTCATACCAGAAAACAAAATATAGGGCCTTGGACATAGCAGTGTATGAAACAGAGCAGTAGATGGCCCATTTTCATTTAGCTTTAAATCTGGACAGAAATGTACTGCAGCGAAGGCAAAATTCCACAATCAAAGGAATTCACAGAGAAGGGTGGATTGATGGAAAAAACTGAGGGGAATTTATATTGTACCCCCTTGACCTCACCAAGGGACATGGGAAGGGACCTGTCAAGCAAGAGGGTATAAAGGTCACTGCTTGTTGGAATTGGGGTGCCTGTCTTTGGATAGACACGTGTTCCTGCAGGATTGCTAGGAGGATTTTGCTTCTGCTGTGCTGCCTCTGAGCCCATACTTTGGGGTCTGGATGATGGCTTCTCCCCCAGCAGGCTCTCAATAAGCGTGAGTTATGATTCCTGCAACCACTGAAGGAACTTTTTCATGACTACCAGCTCAAGGGTCCACCTCCCCCATGAAATGTAAGTTTCTTAAAGACAGAAACTGTCTTTTCTTTCTTCTTCTTCTTCTTTCCTATCTTTCTTCCTTTATTTTTGTCTCCAATGTCTTCATGCCTGGCACTGAGGATAAATCATGAAAGTTTTTGCTTGGTTTTCTTTCTGTTTTTGTTTTGTTATGAACGAAGTGAGAAACAAAAAGGCTGAAGCACTGATTGAACTGGATGGGGACCAACTTTTGCCTCTAAGTTTTAACTTTAGGTTAATGTTTAAATAAATTAGACTCATAGAGAATGATGAGCAATCCAACAGTTGTTTTTTCTCCTTAATAATATACCCATCTAAATCTATGCTCCAGGATCAGTGTAACTTCTTGAAGTTTAATGTTTACAAAAAATTTTAAGGTTGGTAGATGCAAAAAATGCTTCTGTAAATAAATGACTATAGAATCCAAAAACTACCTACAAAAACTTTAGTAGAAAGAAAAATTAAATTTCTTCAATTACAGAGGTAGAGAGAAGGAAGAAAAAGAAAAGTTGGGTAGTAAGCTGGCCAAAGTTCTGGTTTCTACGTTCAAAGGTGGAGATGAGCAGATGAGAGTAACAGACAAAAAAGAAAAAGGAAACACAAGAAAGAAAAACTAGGTTTCATATGCACTATTTAAAAACTTTTTGATGGTTTCTCATTACCTTTAAGGCAAAAAAAAAAAAAAAAATCCTTTAAAAAGTTGAAAAGGCAAAACACAGCGTGAGGAAAATATTTGCAAAACATAAATCTGGTGCAAAGCCTGATTATCAGAATGCTTTAAACACTTTCAAAGTTCAATAATAAGAAACCAACCCAATTTTAAAAGTAGGCCAAATATTTGGATGCTTTAATAAGTACAGGAAAAGATGCTCAACACCTTTAATTATTAGAGAAATGCATATTAAAGCCATAATGAGATGTTATTATACACCTATCTGAATGAATGAGTTACATTAAAAAATTTACAATACTGCTATGGCTTGGATGAGTGTTCCCTAAGGGCCCATGTTTAAAAGCTTGGACCTCAGTTTATGCACTGATTGGGAAGTGGTAGAATCTTTAGGAGGTGTGGTTTACGGAAAGGAAGTTAGGTCACTGGGGATGTGCTTAGAAGGGGATACTGGGACCCTGGTCCTGCCCTCTCTTTCTCTTTGCTTCCTGGCTGCCATGGTGTGAGCAACTTTCTCTCCTCACTCTCGCCATGATATTCTGCCTTGCCCCAGGCCTTAAGGCTCCAAGGCCAAGGCAACCATGGACTGAAAGCTTTGAAACCAGGAACCACAATAAAACTTTCCTACTCATATAAATTGATTTATCTCCGGTATTTGTCACAGTAATTGAAAGTGGACTGACACAAATGTGCTGTCAAAGATATAGTTGTTCAGAAGGCTGAGGCAGAAGGACTGCTATGAGTTCAAGGCCAGCCTGGGCTACATTAGTGTGTTCAAGGCCATCGTGAACTATATTAGCAAGACCTGTCATTAAAAAAAAAAGTTCCATAAAAGATGTAGTTGTAAAGTTTTTCTCTCCAGGCATATTTGTTAGTATACTTACATGTGGAGCTATGAAGCAAGATGGAAATTGCAGGTGACTTCTGTCAAGCTGTGGGTGACTCCTGGCCTCTCCTACCTTCCTACCTGCACAAGATTGTCTTTGGATACCTGTAAAGTAAAAACACTTGCTCCACTCACCTCACAAAGCTATTAAGAAGATAAAATGAGTGTGAATCATTGCGCAAGCTGAGATAAGCTGTCAAACGGTTACTTGGAGCAGATTGAAGCTTTTGGTTATATTCATTGCTGTGGAATCTTCTCCCTCCACAGAAGTTCAGCGCCTTCTGTACACCAGTCACATTTTTAACCTTTACTTCCTCCCAGTGCTGACCGTGAGGAATCCCTGAGCTCCCTTGCTCGGCTGCTCAGGTTATTTACCCACCGCTTTTCCTTTCCATTTTAGGAAGATGGACAGCAGGTGCAGGGTCCCCGCTCCTGCATCTGTGCTGACTCGGGTTGCTTCTTGGTTCCCCAGGGAGACAGAAAGAGCAGTAGGAACAGGAGCCTGACCTCCAGCAGAGCTTTGCCAGCGCTTCAGGGGAGACAATGCTGTCTTTTCCAAGGCAAAAAGATTGAGGCTCTCCTCCTACATGTGGAAAAGGGAACAACCGAGTGACTCAGGAGACTCCCACCGACCTCAAATGCTCAAGGAAGACACCATCCTTGAAAATGGCATCATTGTAAACATCGCAGTGCCCTTTGGACTTCACAGGGAGTATTAGAGACTGAAAAGTGGAAGGAAGCTCCGGGACACTAAAGTGTTTTGTTTTGTTTTTATTTCTTGAGGCTTTTGCCATATTTTGGAGTGGAAAAAAATATATGTTAAAACATGTTTCAGAAATTACCATTTGTTTATGTCGCCACTAACACTTTTGCCCTTTCAATAGATTAAACAGTATCATATCATCTATAAAAATACATATGGGCGAGGGTTGGAGTTCAGCGTACAACCCATGCTTAGCATCCTGAAGGCCCTGAGTCCGTCCTAGAACCAAAAGCGAAAACAAAACAGCATTAAATCTTAGCACACAGGAGAAAGGGTTCCTTAAGATTCAAGAGTTTAGGTTCTTATAAAGAATTCTTTCAATCGTGATGGTTTGGTTCTGGCAACATAAATACATTTATTTAGAGAAAGAATCCAAGCAAAATTTAAAACTTAAAGAGGAGTTCTAGTTCATCTGGAAAGAGAAAGAGAATTATTGCAATCTAACATGGACAATGCAACAGAAAATGTACCTTAGCCAGGCATGGTAGCAACATGCTTATGATCCCAGTATTCAGGAGACTGAGGCAGAGGATCTCCTGAGTTTAAGGCCAAGCTGGACCACGTGCTGAGTTCAAAGACCAGCCTCAACCATATTGTGAGACCCCATCTCAAAAAAAAAAGAAAAAGAAAGAAAGCTTACTTTCATGTAATATAATTGCTTTATGTTTTATTTTATTGTCTGTTAGTCTGGCTGTTAATCTGTATTTATGATAATTAAGTTGATAAAGATATTTTAAAAAATAAATAAATCTGCTGTTGACAAAAAAGATTTGGCATGCACAAATCCCAGCTCCCCCAATGAATGTAATCGTTACATATTGCAAACATGTTCTGATAAAAATAAACATTTGAAAGAGTTCTGGTTCAATTTATATGTTTATAACTGTTTTTCAGTCCTAGTCGATGTCATGGATTTTACATCAATGATTGGGAGCTGAAGAATGATGATAATAACAGCGTAGAATAGTCACGTGGTTCTGTTTCTGAGCCAATGGAATGTTCCAGGGAATGCTGTCAGAAAAAGGCTGAGCGAGGAGGCCAGGCCCCTGGGAAAAGGCCTGGCCCTGTGTTGTATGCTACGTTTCATCGCGGCACATCCTTGCTTGGTATTATTCAGATGCACGAATTCCTAAGCAAATTCCCATTTCTTTGTCGTTTTAAGCAGACAGGAAGGATAATGTCAACGGGTTAGGGGGACCTTCTTAGTTCAATTCGCTCAACCTTGGTGCCCACGACATCAAACAAGCTCATGCCAGCAACATCAAAACACTTGGAACGCTTTATACAGAGCTTTCCATACTAGTTTTTCATGCACAAAAATGGGAGGCAGAAAAAGAAATGGGAAGCAGGTTTTCACTTATTCTCGATCATTTATTCATTTAAAAAGAGACCCTAAAGTTTGTAGGAAAACAAGCATAACAATCCCAGAGGAATGGGGACTGGAGCCCAGGAAAGCACTTACCTTTCCAAGAAAGGGCACCTCCAGAGGAAGCACCAACACAGCTCCTCGTTAGTATAGTGGTTAGTATCCCCGCCTGTCACGCGGGAGACCGGGGTTCAATTCCCCGACGGGGAGGTAGTGTACTTTTACAACCCCAAGGTTAGTTTTCTAAGGGTGCTCCACAGCCTCATCATAAAACTACATCTCTATAAGTGTACGTGTTTTTACATAGTGTAACACTATTATTTATGCTTGACGCTGTGAATGAGAGCCCGCTCAGAGAAAAAATGCTTTATATTGTCACCAGCGGCGCAAAGGGAAGACACAGGCGTCCTGCTCCCGCCCCGGCACCGACCCGCGCGTGCGCAGTGGCGCCCTGACGAATTACTACGGGAGGTCAAGGCTTCAACATGCGCCATGGGGGGAAGGGAGGTGAAGACGGAGTCTCCGCCCCCAATGGGCGGGGGTAGGGCGGGGCAGCCAGGAACGGAAATGGCCGGATAAAGAAGAGGAAGGGCCGGTTTCCTTCAACTCTGCGGACCCGGTTAAACGGGGAGCCCGCTGTCTGGCCTCTGCCCATTAGGTCCCGGTCTAGGTGGAGCTGTCAGGAGAAGCGGAGCTCCCCGGGATCCGTCGGCGGGCAGAGAGTGAACGCCAGGAGAAGTGGTGGCGCCCGGAAGAAACACAGCGGTGTCGGAGTCCTAAGAAAGCACGCGAGGCACAGCCCAGCAGGACCTCGTGGCGCAACGGTAGCGCGTCTGACTCCAGATCAGAAGGCTGCGTGTTCGAATCACGTCGGGGTCATGGCTCTCCCTTTTGAAAGCCTTCCTATGTTCCCGCCATTTGTAGATGATGCTTATTATTTTTTTTAAATCTTCCTTTTTCAAAAGTTACTGTAATAGTCCTTAGTCTACGAAGAAAAGCGGTCATTACGAAAGAGCAAAAAAACCAAAACAAAATCCTTAAGGCTGATGTTTAGAGATAGCAGGAGAAAGGGAAAGGGACATAAAAAAGATTAAGATGATGTGTACCAGCACTCACTCCGCACCATGAATGTAGTCACGTGCTGCAAACATATAAATACATATTTTTTTAATTTTTGAAGGCTAATGTTTGTACCGTTTCACCCTGTAAAGTGAGTTGTGTCATTAATGGTACTTAATGTGCATTATTAGTAGGAATCTCGGCCCCACAAGACGCTGGACTGCACCGTACAGGCTTTTTTTTTTTTTTTTAATAAAATAAAAATTTTAGGCCATTTACCTTTTGAAAGTATGATTCAGTTCAGTTCTAACTTCAAGTATTACACTAGTTTACATGCTTTAGCTCTTCCTGTGCACTGTAAGCGCCTTACAACATGTGTCTAATATCTCACTTTTATTGGGATTTGCAGCACACAGATGATAAGCGGCTGGCAGAGTCACCCAGGGTCCCAGACCAGGTGTCTGACTCTTAAATTTTGATAATAAAAGTGAAAGTCTTCAGAGCTGTAACGCGTTGGTATTTTCACCAATTCATGTGAGTGGTGACAAGTTACATGGGATTTTTAACTATTGATGTCATTTATGGCAGAACTTACGTTATTTAAGCTCCAGGTCTTTTAATACTGAATAGAGCCTTAAAAACGTGTATTAAATATTTGTTACACATCAAAAAATAAATAATAAGGCCATAAGAAATATCTTTAGAGTTTTATTGGATAGGCCCTGTGAAATTCCTTGAGTTTTACTGCTCAGTATTTTGAAATAAAAGTATAAAACACCACTTTAGCACAAGGCGATATCTATATATATATAGATATAGATATCTATAGATAGCTCTGTTTATGTATTTTGCTCTCCCCTTTGTCACTAGAGATTGAACACAGGCCACATACATGCTAAGAAAGTGCTGTACAACTGAAGTACATCCCCAGCCAGGGACAGATATATATTAAGCCATCAAATACTATAATATACTGGGACATGTGCCATGAAATTAGTATAAACAGAGGAGGTACAGAGTGCTAAAAATAAGACTATTAACACCATTGGGTTGTATGTACCCCTTACAACCCTCTCTGCCTACATCATAAAAATAAAATAATATGTTTTGTTTAAGCAAAGATAAAAGAAATATTGTTAAGAGGTACAAGCAATGAATAGGGGACCAAAGGGAAGAAAGAAGACAAGTTTCTGGGAGGGGTTGAATTGTCTTCCCAAAACATTTATGGTGAATCTTAATTCCCAATTCCTCAAAATATGATTATACCTGGAGAGAGTCTTTTAAAAGCTGATTAAGTAGTCTGAAGTCGTTAGGATGACTCCCAAGCCAATCTGACTGATGTCATACTTAGAAAAGATTTGGACACAGACATCAAGAATGCACGTATGCTGGAAGAAAGGTTTTTTTTTTTTTTTTGGTCTTTTTCCTTTTTATTAGTACCAGGAATCAAACTCACGACTGCCTGCTTGCAAGGCAGGTGCTTATGCCTCTGAGCTAAATCTCCAGCCCCACTGAGCTAAACCTCCAGCCCCGAAAGATAGCCTTTAACAAATGGTGCTGGAAAAACTGGCTATTCATCTGCCCAAGATTTAATCTAGCATAGCATTGTGTCTTTCACCATGTACTAAACCACAATGAAAATGAATCAAAGATCTCTATTAAAACAGAGATATTTGATCTGCTAGAAGATAAAACAAATAAAACTCTCGAAATAGGCTTAAGGAAAGACATTATGAACAGAACTCCAGTTGCACAAGAAAAAGTACCAAGGATAAACAAATGGGATGATACGAAATTAAAAGCTTTACAACAAAGGAAATCACCAAGATAGTGAAGAGACAACCTACAGATTAAGAAAAAAACTTTTGCCAACTATTCATCAGGAAGAGGACTAACATCTAGAATACATAAAGAACCCAAAACAATTAGACTCCCCAAACTAAAAGATCCAACCCAAAGACAGGCAAGTGAAATAAAGTGACACTGTGCAGAAGTACAAATGGCCAATAAGGACATGAAGAAATGATCACCATCCCTGGTCATTATAGAAATTAAAATTAAAACAACACTATAATCCCACCTTATACCAGAAAGAATTGCCATCATCAAGAAATCAAGTAATAACAAATGCTGGCGAGGTGGCAGGGAGCAGGGCCAGAAAGGAATGTTTGCACGTTGTAGGTGGGCGTGAGAGCTAGTACAATCTCCATGGCTCAAAAAACTAAATACAGGTTGGGCACAGCAAGGCAGCTGGCCTCTGACACAAGCTCTGGGACAAGGGTCTGCAGCTGGCCGCTGGCTGTCATCTTCCAACAGCCTGATACTGGCCAGTGGTCCTGAACTTTGGCTTCTTCTAGCCTGTGACAGTTTTCCTCCTATAGCTGCTGAGAGATTGGCTTGCTGCTGCTGCTGCTGCTGCTGCTGCTGCTGCTGCTGCTGCTGCTGCTACTCCTGCCTGTGGCCCTGAGAGAATTTCTGTAGACAGGAGAAGAAATATGCAACTTCCTGGGAGAAAAGTGTAAAGAGTCAGAGAAAGAGTTGGCTCGACTGCTGAGTCCACAACTATTTCACAAGTGCTTTGAGGGTGCCGTGGGGGCAGAGTTCTGACACATATCTGTACATATCTAGGGTGTTCCGGAAACTGGCAACCACACCCCAGGAGCAGGCCTGATGCAAAGAGTAATGGGAGAGAGAGCGTGGTAGGGAGACACACCAAGACACACATCTCCAGCACAAGTAACTGGATCATGCTGACCTGCGAGAGGGTGTCGAATGTGATAACCACTGTGGCAGGGAGCAGCATCTGCAAGCCATGCACCCTGGAGGACAGGGTGAGAGGCAGAGCAAAGCCCAAGAGTTTCTACCTCTCTGAGATGCATGTTAGCTTAGCCTGCCTCCCAGAGGTCTCCCACATCAGGGTGGGGTCCCTGTGACTTGTCACATTTGCGTTGCTGGTTGCTATCTACGTCATGGAGGGCTTTTTATCCCAGTGACCGGTAATGGAGGCCAAGGGAATGTAGCAATTTTTCCTTAGTTTTCTGTCAGGATCTTGGCACCTGGTAGCACGTGGCTGTGACTTTGTGTGCCTGCTGCCTGCATCTCGTGGTGTCTTTGCTCCCTGTTTTGTCTTCTAGAGAGTTACAGCTGTAAGAAAGAGAATAAGACCTGTAAAAACAGGCTGCTGTACTAGCTCTAGCTATCAGAAGACAAAGTGGGCAAAATTATCTCTGGCTCTTTTTTAAAAGAACACATTTCCTGAGTTTTTGAGACATAGGATTTCTTTTTTAAAAAACCAAAGAAACATTATTTGTCCTGACTTGATGGCTTTTGTGCTAACTCTACTTACAGTAGACTCCATGAGTCTGGTTGTAATTTCTTGCTGCTTGGAACCTTACTTGGTTGCATTTGATCTGTGCCTGGAGATGTTCTAGACTTTGGAGGAGGACAGGAAAAAAGTGAAACTTCCCAATTACAGAATTGTAAGCTACGTCCTTTTATTGCTTGCACTGGGGTGATGTGATAGCTGGAAATGTGCTTGGATGGTTGTGATGGTTGATACATTGTGTCAACTTGAAAAGTTTAGAAGTTTAAGGAAGAAACTCAGGGAACCAGGATCATTACTTTGTAAATATCCTCATCCTTTGCAGAGGTTTTGTGAATGCTACACCAGCCTTGGTGGGGAGGGTGGCCTGTGTACAGTATAAGGGAAGGGAAGAGGAGAAGAGGCTTGTTTTCCCCCTTTTTGCTCTGGCTGCTGTCTTGAAGTGTTGCCAGTGCCATGCCACCCTGCCTTGCAGCCAGCTGATTAATGGACTGAAACCTCCAAAAACTGTAAGCTAAACAAACCTTTTCTTCCCTAATTTTAGCCATCAGATATTTTGTCTCAGCAATGAGAGAAAAGTAACCAAGACAACAGTGGTCTTGGGGTTATCAATCTACAGGAGCCCAGAGGCCTAATGCAGCAATCTGGGCTGTTGGAAAGTCGGGTGGGAACTGCCCTTCTGCGTTCCTGGGGTTCCAGAACAGGGCATCATGTTACTTGGTGGTGGGATTTCCTCAATGGCTCCTTCTTCCCATTTATGGCAAAAGCTGGCAAAGCTGTTCTCATCTCCTGTTTTCCTGTATGGTATTTCTAAACATATATTGCACTTCTCTCACTAGCATATACTTTTGCCTTTTTTTTCCCCTCCTAATTTTCAGCTTCTGGAAAGGGGATGGAAGCAGAAGGGAGCCTGGCAGGCTCTGCAGTCCTCGCTCGGGCTGCGGATGTGTGTGTCCTGCTGCCGGCTCAGGGAAGGGTCTTGCCCACATTTCCCTGGGGATGGTTTCTAGTCCTCTGATGCCTCTGTCTGC